GGGACTTGAAGTTGGTTGATTATGCAGCTGCCCAATATTTTATCTGGACGGAAAATATTTCACCCGTAAATTTTACAGAACACATCATAGATTTTGACAATAACTTGCAATGTGTTCACCGCCACTACTCATACATTCAGTGTTCAATATTAAATTAAGAGCTGCATGTCCAAAACCAGACAATTCAAGTCAAGTATAAATTCAAGTAAAGTGACTTCGCTGAGTTACTGAGTTCACTGAGTGGAAGTCATGTGTGACTTTAGAATAGTACCTTACAAACAATGTAAAGGGTGATTTATGATCCTTGTTTTTAACAGACCTTGGCCTTTCCTTATAACCTGCATACTCACATTCTGGTGTTAAAATGCAATGTCACACACTTTCTTACATTCCAACCAATTTAAATTGAATATTTAAAAACATGACAATTCCCATGCCCAATCAAGGACATGCAGCTCCACACTCCAACAACTGGCATCCTATTGTCTTTCTTTTATGATAAGAATGAGACTGCTCTAGGACCCACGGGCGGCGGACGGCATTAGCAGGACAGAGCCGACTTAATGATGATTCGCACTACATGGTACATGGCGTCCTGGGAGTTAACAGAAGCGTTTTCCATTACAGGCTCCATTATTCAAACTAATTTGTGGAAAATGTAAAATATTGGTCCAGTCGGCTCTGGCCAATGCAACCCGTTCTCACAATCAGTGCGCTCACACTGAAGTGAACCGTTGGTGGCAGTCGCATACACTGTCAGAAATGTCATTAAAATATAGATTAATGTATTTTACATGAAACTTCATGTAACCTTGTACATTAAAAGAGAGCTGAACATTTGTGCATTAAATTTAATGCACAAGTTAAAATCAGTGTAGATTTAATGTAATGGTTCTCCCGTTTCCCCTACCCCTCATCATTCATTTCGTATTTTCATAATCATCAGTCCATCAACATCATTCATTCATTCCTTTCAGATATGACCATAAAGCTTTGACTTTTGCCTGGTAATGTACATGGGTACCATTAAATTTAATGTGCGTTCATGATAATTACTTTAATGTAATTTCCATTAAAGTAACGCAGAAATTTCTGACAGTGTACTTCTCGGCAGGCCGCCTGGTCGCAGTGGCGGGGGTACTCACAGGCGCGCGCAGCGGCGTCCGCCGGGGGAGGCGGCGGCGGCAGCGTTGGCGGGGGAGGTGGGCGCGAGCGCTCAAGTCCATGAACCATGCGAAATTGAGAATTTAGTTCCAAAAGAGACGCATCTCCAAGAAATTCACAATTTTTCTGGAATGTTAAAATACTAAAATTCAACTAACATTTCAATGATTAGATTCAATGGTTTTCAGATATTATTTTTCATCACGGAAACGCGGGATTTTTTGAACACAATATTACAACATATGGAAGAAGTGTAATTAAGAATTTAGATACAGGAAAACTTGAAAACAAATCGAAATGAAGGGTACGTCCTATGAAAAATAAATCTTCAATTTTTGTTGTACAAACGGGTTTTCAAGGTGTTAATTTCTCAGGGTTCCCACTGTCTTCTTTCATTCCGCAATTGATCCGTATCGTCCATACAGCATCAATGCAGAGGGACTCTTCAACAGACCGCCACGGTTATTCAAGGTCTGTCGTTTTCCTCTTCTTTATACAATTGAAGACTTGGTAGGCTGAATCTATGCGATTATTAATATAAATGACCATCACAATGTGGTGGAATTATGCATCTCCTGAAACATTCGTTAAAACAAAGCTCGATCTCTGAAGATATTGCTGTTTCGCACTACAGTTTTCTTGGACTTTTTATTATGTCGAACAATGCCTCTTAAAACGAAAAAAGTTAATTTTATAAAAAGCATCATTAAACAAGTAGACTAGTCAGTCGAAAGTACAATGGTCTTGTGATTAATTCTGAAAAAGAAATAGTTCGGAAATCAATTCGAAAAGAGAAAATGAAAACTCCTGTTCTGAAGTGAGCACGTGGACATTAAGCAATCTCTCACAAATCCAGATAGTGGCTATGGTCATTAGATTCCACAGCTTTCCGGATAATTTTTTATCCTAGGCACAGTGCCAACGTTTTCGCCTTTCATACTTGTACCCTCCTCAGGTGAAATGACATGGAAAGTCCGCCAAGTATAAGAAGCAACGTAGCTAAGCCGCTGCGTCTCGGGTAGTAAAGAATACTATTGACTCGCTGCGCAAACCTACCTTTTCAGTGTTTGGTCATGCATGTCAGAATATGTAGGCTTGATGTCAATGATTGATATGCTTTCTCGAGTACAGAAGAAATGATACGCTCCGGGAAGCTAAGGCAATTCGCCTACCCTTTCCATCAAGCGTGTTGCGTCCACAGGGGACCTTTTTCCCACGTCCCGTTTTTTGAACAAAAGCTCGCAAATACGATATTCACATCTTCAAGTAATCAGTTGAACGAAGTTTGTTTTTTCTAAGAAAATTGCATCTGTGCGATGCAAATTTTCTGTAATCAAAAGGATGGAAAAAAAGCTACTAAATGTATTGTCCTTAGAATAATATGTCATATTCTTAGCCATCCGTTATTTACATGTGCAAAATACATGCACTGAGCTTTAAAAAGGTCCAAACTGAATTTCAAGCGATTTCTGAAAGCCGGAGCATTAATTAACTCAATAATGTGTTTAGGCCATTTATTAGTCGATCCGTGCGAGGTTCACTGAATTTTGACGTCCGGTTCGAGTTTCACTCAAAATGTATGTTTGAACTCTACAAAAATGGAAACGCTTCCTCCTTCATCGAATCCATCTCCCTCATATTGAATCGTATCTGGAAAACATTATCGTACGTCCCGTTTTAGACATACTGTAGATCATAAAACTCACCTAAACCGCACTGCGCAATCTAGCTCTCCAGTAAGCACTTACGGGATGCTTACCTCTCATTTCCAATAACTTGATCTGCCTGTTACCTCCAGGAGCACATCGCTCTTCTGCCTGAACGGCTATGAAAGACCTGACCTGTTCCGGGAAAGCGCACGTGGCCGACCTCGACCTACCTGGCATTCCGCGACCCCGAGCACCGAGCCAAACTGCTCACCGCCGTCGAGTTACTGCACGACTGTGACGTGAGTTATCACGCTTTCAACCATTGCGTTGACCCCCTGGTAGCTTAGCCTTTGATCATGGACACTAATGTCATCTACAGAATTCCAGCTACCTTTCCCAGTATAACTGTGAAAAATATGTTCAATTCAAAAAGGACTTGCAAAAACTGTACCGTTGATTTTCCGCTAATATCGTCTGCATACGTATAAGTTATAAAACTCTCTGAAACTGCAAGTCTCAGTTGGAGGGCAGTGAATAATTTGTAACATATTTTTTGCTTGTTTTTTGGTTTGTTTTTTTCGTTAAAGAATAAAATATGAGATACATAAAAACAATAAAATAACATAAATAAAAATAATAAATACATAAATGAAATAATAAAATAACCAATTTTAAAGAATACTGGAATAATAAAATGCTCTGTTTGTTCTCCGGCAGCTCCGTTTGACAGTCGCGGCGACTGGAGGCGACGAGCGCCGGCTCGAGCTCGGGGCGCGACGACGAAGACGAACGAGCGACGACGACGAAGGGACGACGACAGTGGACGACGACACGTCTGCATGTGCGAAGCGCGCCAGCGACCCGGCGTCGCGTGCGCCTGGGCGGCGGGCCGGCACTCGCCGTCGGCCTTCCGTCCCTGCAGTCCCGCGCGTACTCGGGCATGCTACGCAGCGCAGTCGCCGCCCCACATCACCCCACCCCATTCACCACCCACTCGCACCACCCGCACCACCACCACCATTCACCAAACCACAAGAAGGGCGGCGGCGGCGCGCCGGGCCACCGTGCGGCACCACGCGGGCCGGCGGCGGCGTCCGCCCGTCAGGCACACACCCAACAACCTGCCAGCCCGGCGCGGCCGGGGGCGGGTTCGCGAACGCTGCCGCCCGGCTGCCAGGGCTGGGCGGCCGAGGCCGGCGCCGGCGCGGACGACAAAAATAGGTCGCTGGCGGTGTCTCTTAAGTGGTGGAAATCCGCCGCGCGTATTTAAAGCGGGCGACAGATGACGTGCCTCGCCTTGGCTCCCGCCACGGCTATTACTCGGATTTAAACTGAGAAAACTCCTGTCTCATGCTTGAGTTTCCGGAGTCGGTCCCGGCATGAAAGTAATTCTGATTGTTAAAGAAGGGTATTGAGTGGCCGCTGACAAAGCTGCTCTATTGTGACCTGTATTAAACCGTTCTCCCAACAATCCCGCTCTGAGCCCCCGCCCGCCGGCGGCCCGCCCGGGAACCGCATCACGCCTCTGCCACACCTTCCCACTTTCACAACAATTGAACCCCGCCCTGCACAACCGCAGAGCGGCCTCCCCCGGCGACCGCCCGCTGCGCGACGCCTGTGTGCAGTGAATGCTTCTACTAAAGAAATCCCCCCCCCACCAAAGAGAACGCACCCAGGCGAAGAACCTGGCCGGAGAAGCCTGAGCAGCTGTACAAGGACCAGATGTCTGCCCGCTACTAAATCACTCGTCGCCATAGAA